ATTTATAATAAACACTACAGTATTCCATTAAAAAATAAGAATTTTCCATTTTGATTTCATGGTGACTTTAAATGCTAAAAAATAAATATGCATCATAACAGTAATGTGTACCTGAGAAAAATATTTATAAGTTATACGATAGGCTACTTTTATGTATACAGATGGACATTTAAAGGGGTCATATGATGTTGCTAAAAAGAACATTATTTTGTGTATTTGGTGACTGACTATTTTCTCTCTGGTCTTGCGCGCCAATCCGTTTACTGCCTGGCACGTGACACACGAGAACCAATAACATTTGGCATCAATGACGTCAAATCTAGCGGCGCATCCAGTGTTGTGTAATATTCAGTTCCTGTGAAAAACTGTTCCAGTGGGTGGAGTTTACGTGATTATTCATTAGTTCCCCTAGTGTGGGCTTGTCCTTGAGACAACGCGCAAATGAATGGAACTGAAAATATTAGTGCACGCTCCTCAAATCACTACGTGTTTAATGGATTATTTCGAAAAGGTAATGAAGTAGGCCTATCAATGTTTAGCATTAAAGCATTAACTGCAACAGTGTCAAAACAGCATAGTTATTATAAATCGTCTAAGCTGTTTTGCCTGATTGATTACAGCAAAACAAACAATAATCGAGTAACTTGTGCTAACCTGGGCTAATATATTATTATTATTTATTTATTTATTTTTTGACGTGTTTAGCTTTTATATATTTCATTTGTGGGGGTTTAATTAATGTATTTATTTATTTGAATAGATTAGCCTACCTATAGTTGTCGTTGGTGACTAGTACTGCAGTGTGTATACAACTTCTGCACTGGAAGCTCCTGTCGCCAAGTCAAATTCCTTGTGAGTGTAAACATATTTGGTAATAAAGCTCTTTCTGACTTCTTACTAACTTCTGAACACAACACTATGGATCATAATATTTAGGATGTTTTCACACACCATTTTTAAACATATGACATGAAAGGTTGTTTTTCAGTGCAACATATGGACAAAAACAGACACAATATATGATTATATATGATATTAATTATTATAATATTTATTAGTAGTAGTTTTTTCTCAGATTCTCTAAATTGTTAAGCAATGCTCTGTATTTGACTGTTAACTAAATGCAATTAAGCAAAACATGACATGCTTTTGTAGGTCCATTTTAAAGGGACAGTTCATTCAAAATTCATGTTGTTTCAAGGTTGTATGACTCTTTCTTCTGTAGAAGACTTTGAAAAATGTGTCAATGTGTTCACACTGGTTTCAAACAGGTGAGTAAATGATGACAGAGTTTTCGTTTTTGGGTGGACATATACCTTTAATATATTATAATCTATTAGTACTTGGAGATTTCCCAAACAGGTGTATGTGGAAATATTTTGATTTTTAACAATTTTTTTTTTACTTAAAATAAAATAAAATAATAATAGAAGAAAATATGTGACAGAAGTAATTGTGCATTTACTTGTGTGACTTTAATTATAATTGACATGATACATGACATCCAATATAATATGAAAAAAAGGAATATTTGTAGTTTGGTGTTGATGAAGATACTGATAGGGCTGTGGAGGCTGGGAAATACTGGCTATTAAAAATAAAAAAGATGATGAAGATGAAAGATAGAATGACACAGGATACTCACTCCCGGCTATAGTTTCTATTCATTTTATTAGGCCACAGATACAGTTCCATTCATTTGCGCGTTGTCTCAAGGACACGCCCACACTATGTGAACTAATGAATAATTACGTAAACTCCACCCACTGGAACAGTTTTTCACAGGAACTGAATATTACACAACACCGGCGCCATTATTTAATTTGAACGCAAATGATATTTGAAAATACAGGGGAAAGTAGATTTTATATTTCAGTCTGTTCTGTTCCTTACACAAAAACATTGTATGACTTCACAACATTTGGAATATTGCTCACCGCCGCATATGGATTATGTTTATACTTATCAGTTTATAAATATAGACTTTTAAAACACTGTACGGATTACCAAATTCGCTGTATGGAAAACCTGCCTAATGACGTTCTTACTGACATCTTTTGTGTTTCACGAAAGGCAGAAAATCATGCTGGGTCGGAACACCACGAGGGTAAGTACAAATTATATAAATGTTTATTTTATGTTGATTTCTGGAGTGAATTATTTCTTTCCACAGTTGTGTAGGAAAGTGGTTGACTGAGTCAACAGCCACTTATACGGTCTAACGGTCATAATACCAGTTTAGTACGCTGAGATGGTCATTGTGTTTATTTAACGTTAGTTCTTTTGAATCTGTGCATTGTGCAAACTAATCAGTGACACTTTGATAAGCCCTGCCTTAAAAATGTTGCCCACCAATCCTACCCTAGCAACCGTTGCCGTCCGTCATTTTTCAATTAAGTTAAATCTGTGGAGAATCTGTATTTTAGTCTGTATGTAGTTTAAGATGCAGTTTCATTTATATTATCTTGGGTGGTCTTGTGTTTGTTTATTTATTTATATATATATTTTTTTGTTGTGCTTAAAAACGTTACTGACCATTCCTACTCTAGCAACTATTTCCTTCCGCCTTTTCTCTTTCCTAATGTAATGCGAGTATCTGACAGTTTTTACAGATATAGTCTAAAATATGAAATATTTTTTTTATGAACAAATTTAACTGAACGTGTCATTTTAATCTCCAGTTTACTGGCATGTTGTGTAAAGCTTGTCTGGCTGAGCAACATCAACCAACACAGCGAAGCTTAGTGAAGAGTGTGTCGTTAACTCCCGGCGCGGGCACAATGAAGACACAAAGCTCAGCATGTCTGAAATATAACATGCAAAGCATTACTTTTAACAATTATCACTTCATCAGCCTCCAAATAATTAGGCTAGTCTTTATTACATAACGCCGTTTCCTTTAGGAAACTACAT